ACAAACAGTAACTGCATATAGACGAATGCATTACCTAAATCATTGCTAAAAGTTACGATAAATGCGTGATTTAGTCACAACTTGTTTACGATTTAGTCATAATATAATACAGTTCAGCAAAGATGGTAAAATATCAAATTTTCTAAAATAATAACTTTTATTTTTAAAACAGTATATAAAAAATTTCGTAGCTAGATGGATTTCTGTCTTGGATAAAATTTATAATTTACGGGTATTAGATAGTCGCAAAACAAAGTAAAACCTGTGTCCATAGAAGATCTTGTATATAATTCACATAAGTAAGTCCTTTGTTGGAAAAAATTTTTTTTTTTTGTCCAATGTTGACTAATTCTTTTTGATACATTAGAATGATGAAAGTTAACTTGACTTGGAGTTCGTTTATAGAACTTTAGAGTGATCAAGGATGTGTTATTGGATTTTACATGGTGTGGTTCGCAAATTTAAAAATCATTTTTGGAATCAATTAATTCTTTTCTATGATCAAGCAGTGATTTATTTAATGATAAACTCATTATCGTCATCACTCAATCAAATTACTCACGATGACGATATACCAACGTCATTCTCATCAGCTTAACAATATGGGGCGTTCAGTAGAAATCCACTTTTTAGTCAAAAATATTTTTATTGGCTCACTCTGCTGATCATGGTCATGTGAACAAAACTAGCTTAATAACTAAAATTATTCAAAATTTGTAGATTTCCCCCTTTTCTATTGACCGCCTCCCATATACTCATGATTACAAAAAAGAACGAGAGAAGAATTCAACAGAACTATCTAATAATAACACTGATAACACACAAAGACAAGATGCTCCTATTAAGTCGAATAATATTGATCAATGTGTAGATTTGAATCGAGATTCTTGGATAACTATGTCAGATCTTTCATTTTTGGAATCATTATATTCTAGACCATCTAGTGTATCCAGCACCAAAAAATCACAACGAAAATCCGAAATGCTTCTTGATGATTTTCTTGATATTGGAGCAACATCAACGACAACAACACCTACTAATAATAATTATCGAATGGATAGTTTTATAACACAAATTCATCATGATTCAACTGAATTAATCGCAAATCTTGAAACTTTATTAAAGAAAATCCTTCGACAAGTATCGCTGTAAACTTACTAGATGATTCAGTAAATAACTCGAAGAAGTGAATGAATCCTATTAATTCCAATAATATTTACCCTCCTGCAAAGAAAAAAAGTACTTCGTCGATCTCTTCAGATTTTGAAGATGTGGTTTCTGCTATTCCCTCGGGTAATTTGAATCAGGAGAATTTCTTGAACTTCAATGATCAAGTGTTACCAAAATCATCGTCTTCTAATAATGATACGACATCATCAAGTACAAAATTATGTGATCATCCTGAAAAGGTGTTATACGACACAAAAAAAAAAATTCGAGATCTAAATCTTCGTCTTCAGTATTTGGTGAAAAGATTTTAGCTGATGACGCTGATTTATTTGGTTCAAGCAAACCCAATGAACAAAACAACAAGATAATGATAATTGGATTTCGTCTACTGATCTTCCAATTCCAAACCTTCAAATTCACACAAATTATCAGCAAGATACATTTTTTGATTTTTCAGAATTTACTAGTGATTTTCAATAATTAATAAAATTTCTAAAGTGAAACAGGAACAAGCACTACAAAATATATTCGATTCAAATCGTATACGCCTTCAATGAATGTTGGTTCTACAACGGATTCTTCGGAATTTGGTGAAATGGTATCAGCATATGATCATCGAAATTTGCAATATGATTGGATAATTGGATGACTTTCATTTTTAGAGACTTTAAAAACTTCTTCTTCCTCCATAATAATCATCTTAAATCCAAACAAATTTTTGGAGATTTAGATGAATTTATATTACCTTAATCGAATTCATAATGAACTTTGTAAATAGTATTTAATATATTTAAATTGAAAAAAAAAAATAATAAATAAAAGAAAAAGGATCATTACAGACGGACTTTCTTAAAGATCATCTCATGCATTCGCCAAAACTATGCAAAAAAAAAAAGGAATTTTTCCGGATTAAAAATATAAATCTACAACCGGTTCGAATTTAACCGTGGAGATATTGCGATCAAAGTCTCATAAAATTTTTTGAAATGATTTCATGAATTCAAAGAATGAAGTACCAGGGACAAGAACCAGCCGTCTTAATAAATGTTATAAGGCTATTAACTGTTAACGAAATATTTTTTCAATAAAAAAAAAAATGCATGATCACATAATATCCAAAAAAAATGGTTCAAAAAAAAAAAGAAGCATTATATCCACAAAAAAAAAAGGTAAATCCTTTTGTTTAAAATAAATGGATAATCAACAAAACCGTTTATCTTTCGAGTCATCACAAAGGAAAGAATAAGCCGATCC